AGAAAATAATACGTCCAATTTAAGTCAGATAAGTAATTAATTAGTGTAGGTAATAGGGAATTAACAAAAATAATACAGAGTGGTTATAAATGATTTTCATCTAGCCAGCTTTGGAATTTTTTTGCATGTAACTTTATTTGTGCCGCTCTACTTTTTTGAAAGCTCTAGTTCTGTCATTAGTGTCACTTATTAATTAATAATAAATTGTTGTTAATTAAATTTTTATTGTTTCAACTAATTTCCAATAATAATTGATAATAATGTATATTTGGAAGAAAACAAGTTTATAATTGAAGTCTATTTTCGAAGTGGACGCTTAGTAAACGGCGATTTTTTAATTTTGAGTTACAACAAGTAGGTACCCCTATTTTCGTAAAGCGGCATTTTTTATTTTACATGGAAAATTCACAGCTGGCTAGATGAAAATCATTTATAACCACTCTGTAGTTGTGAATTACGTCTGAAGCAACATGTCTTTCTGGGTAATAAATGTGCTAATAGTGAAATTTTTTTTACATAAAACACGGTAGAGAAGAGATTTTTATAGCCACGCATTTATTATTTCCCTCTACCTTGTGATATAATATACTATTTTAATACTATCTCTGTCCCAAATTATGGTATACAAAAATAAAAAAATAAATGCATACCGTAATCTAGGACAGAGAGATTTTGTTTAAAAATAGATAAATTGAATCAATGATTGATATCTAAAGCCCGGAAGATGTAACATTTAGTTCATTTTATTCTTTGTTTAGAGATAGATGAATCTACACAAGAAATAAAATGAACTTGACGCGACTTCCATTTGGAGAATGAAATAGATTGAGAAGACATTTTTATAACATCAAGCTTTACATAAGAATTTTATAAAATCGATAAACGGAATCAAGAAAAGCGGCAAATGTGCACAACCATTATCTTTAAATTCATAAAATATCAAATTGTTTTTGAAATTTAAATCAATTCCTATTAATACAAAGATGTTGTAACGTTTAATCAAATTCACTACATTTCCATTTTTGATGATAATTTATTTTGATCGTTCATTTTTAAATTAAAAGTTGTTTATTTTTTGTCGAAACATTTTTTCTGCCTTGGTGCGTTTGTAAAGAAACGAACTTCTTGATTTACCTGCATTCAACAGCTTAATATTTATGAATACGATTATTAAAAGAAAAATACAAATTTGAGTTTGAATGCTAAATTATTCTTCTCTTGTTTAGTTTAAAAATAGCTTTTTATTAATAATAAAAATGAAATAACTAATTAATTAGGAGCGTATATTGTTCCCTGGCAAATCAAATTTGAGAGCACATTTTTATGTATCTCGACTAGAAATAACTCGGAGATAGTAAAGATCTGGAGTTGTCGTGCTGTCAGTTGCACAACTTTCATAAGAGCATAAACTAAGATTAATTAATCCGCTCTTGTTCAAGCAAAAATTTATTTATTCTAAATAAACAGAAATAAACCTTGGGACCATTTTTGGAACAAAGTGTTTCTTGCTGAATGAATATTAAAATATTTTTCCGGTTTTGTAATTAGTTTTTGGCTTAATAGTTCCCTATTGGACAGTAATGCGCTTTAATTAGATGAGTCATCTTTTACTCCCCTCTATAGTATCTAAAATTTATAGGGTAGTATTTGTACAGTTTTCTTGAGGGTGGAATTGGTTTCTTCGTGATGATAAGCAGCTTACATTACAGAGGCTTTAGACGTCAAACTTTCTTTCAAATAGAGTAATCATTCATTTATAAATACCAACGTTTGTGAAATGTATCGATTTGACAGCTTGACAGAATTCTAAACTCCCATCTCTCACTTATATTAAATAATTCAGCAACTTTTCACTCACAAAATAAGCACCAATTTGGGGCACTGCTAAGTTATTCTTTCCGTTCTAATAAATAAAACAACCGTAAAATTTAATTGGATCTAATAAAAGAGCGATGTAACGTGATGTTGAATAATATCTTCTTCATTTGTTGCCTTTTAAAAGAGAACAATGAAACTGTACTTAATACTTCCTATAGTTTCAAGTGGTTTCTATTGAAATTACATATACATAATTCCGAATGTTCCACAATTCTCTACAGTCTTGTATTTAGTATTTTACAAGATAAGAATTTTGTTCCCTAGGGAACGTATGAATAAAGCATTAACGATTTCCTTATCTAGGTTAGTAAATTTTTGTCTTGTAAATACATTTATTAATCAGGAGCAACTCTGGAAACTTGAATGATTGATTAAAAACGATCCTTGGGGACGAAAACTTGCCTGATTCAAAGTTGTTTCAAGTTGGCACATAAACCGACCACAATTTGATCAGTGTGATATACTACAAAAACCATTTTATCCACAAATGTCACAAAAGTGACTAAATGTCACAAGTAAAAGTTTTACCTTTCAGCCATGGAGTAAAAATTCTATTTTTGTGCTTAAGCGTTTTTACTTTTACTCTGGGGAGGTACATTATAGATCATCAGTATTCGACATTTTGCACTACTAACTGCACTAATATTAATAAACACTTTCGAAAATCTTAAATTCCGATATTGACGCGTAACGTTTGTTATGATTCCATGTAATTATTTGTGATTATTTTCTTCATTTACTTGCTAACTATAGTTTTGCTCTTTACCTTTGATCTGAGTAGGTATGTTTGCGGATAAAATAGTGTATGTTATTAGGAGTAAAAGTGAGTTTATGTGGCTCAGGTGAATTATTTAAGCTGAATAAACGTTCATCTTCGCCACATAAACTTTTATTCCTAATACATACTATTATATTTTCATACATATTAAATAAAAATTTTAATCAATACGTTCTAAAATACTGGCTGATTTAGTAAGACCGTTTGTCATCATTTTTATTCTTTCAGGAATTTTTCTTATTTTCTTTCGCATCACGTTCAATGCCAATGAATTCGAAGTTTTCACTTGGTAATAATCAATCTTTGATAAAACGCACTGAAACTTGCTCAATGCTAAAAATATACATTTTACTCTGACCATTTCAATTGATGGAAACTATATTTTATAGTATCTTAGTTAACAAAAAGACTATAAACCTATTTTTCAATTGCAGTAAAATGTGTTAAAATTTTATTATCATTAAATACCATTTTGTAATGATGAATAATAAATCTTGTGGGATTATTATAGTCATTTATTAGTTTATTAATAAAAGCTTTTTAAACAATATTTTATGTACAGGATGTGCCAGAACTCGCGTTCCAGAGAAAAATTTCAAGTAAGGTAAGACATCAGAAACATGGAAAAAATGTTTAAATTTTATCTGTCAAAAAAACATTAAACAAATAACATTAAACAGAGTTACAGTTTAGGATACAGCTTCCTTGTTTCCGCTTCTAATAGCCTGTAGCAAAAAAACTTGGAAATTTATTTTTCCAATATAAATAAATAAAGTCAAAGGGCAAAATTTAAACTCTCATGATTTCGAAATTTTTATAGCTAGAAGTTTTTTAACATTTTTTCCATGCTCCTGGTATTTTACCTTTTCTCTGGGGCGCGAGTTTTTGCGCAGCCTGTGTATTATTTTTGAACAACGAAATGAACAACATGTTGACGATACAAATTGACTACAATTATTCAGTATGGCACGTCACAAAAAACATTTTTTAATCACCACACTTTGCAATTTTTTTAAGTTTTTTGCAATACATTCTAAAGTTCTGGCTGCTTGGTAAAACACTAAAACAGTTTGTGGTAATTTTTCTTTCAATACAGTTTTCTTATTTTCTTTCGTATCACGTTGAAGGCAAATGAAAATTTTCAAACTGTGTTCTCAGTTGGTAATAATCAATAAAAAGAAAAAGGAAGTGATTGGAGTTTAATAAAAGGAGTAACAAGGGAACCGAACTTTTACTCTGATAAGAGGAATTGAAAATTGTTGAAAATTGATGATGACAACAGTTTTAAATTACGAGGATTTTTAATAAAAAAATTGCAGTAAAATATACAGGTGCGCCAGAATTTGCGCCCCAGAGAAAATTTTCAAGTAAGATAAGATACCAGGAACATGAAAAAAAATGTTTAAAAAATTCTATCTGTCAAAAAATTTTGACATTTTTTTTTGACATTTGACATTTTTTTATATCTATTTAATGATACTGATGATCTTGTATATGTTTTTTTACAATTATTTAGTAAAGGGAAAAAAATTTTGCCAATAAAAGCCACAAATAACATTGAACAGAGTTACAATTTAGGATATAGCTTCTTTGTTACCTGTTTTAATAGCCTATAGCAAAAAAAAATTGGAAAATTATTTTTCCAACAAAAATAAATACAGTCAAAGTGCAAACTTTAAACCCTCATAACTTCGAAATTTTTATAGATAATTTTTTTTAACATTTTTTCCATGTTCCTGGTATCTTACTTTATATGGCATTTTTCTCTGGGGCTCGAGTTCTGGCGCATCCTGTATAATAATTGTAAGATAATAACTGTTATTCTTGTTGTGGAAGAATAAGGAGACAAATATGATGTATTATCGTTTATTTTTTTTAATTTTTATATTTTTACAATGGGCTCTAAAGCTTGATTTATTTTTTAATGATATATTTCTGACATTTTTCATTTCTTTTCCTAAAACTTGATATTTTTGATTTTGTAAAAATAATTTTCTTTAGACATTTTTTTATCAAAGCAATTTTCACTTTTGTGAAAGTAACTTTATAAACGCATAAAATGTTACAAAACAGGTTACACCAGTATTCAAATGATACGCCGGGTTGTACCGCGATCCCCTATTGTTAATTTTCGAAGCGAAAGAAGAACCTTTCATCCGATTATTACATAATTTGAATGGAACATCTCTGGGTTATATAATTTGACCGAGCAAAAATGACTTTACGTAGGCGATAAGGGTTGAAAATGACGTCACTTGTGATTCAACATTGTCGCCGCGACGGCTTCGACGCCCCACACACTGCTTGCTATATTCTCTTGGCGCCGCTCACGTGAATCTCCAGTTCCTAACCATTCCTTGTCGTGGTTAGTGCGGTAGAACGACTTGAAATCGCTCATACTCGAAACTGCAATTAAAAGTAGTGTAATTAATTAATTATGAAAATTAACAACATTTTTTGGTGGTAATAATGGACACAGACGAGGGTCCTATGGCATCCCCTTACGTGGATTTGAATAAATATCAAGGTAAAGTGAATTGAATTATTGTTATTATGCACTAAAAATGCATTGTACTTTATACTTGTGAGTTACTTATCAGGCCTAAGGTTGTGAATGATTATTTATAACTTCAATGCCATTTCTAACTCAAAAGAATTTAAATGTGGGACCAGACACAGAACACCGCCTGAAAAATTACTTTATCAAATTTTTAAATTGGCTTAAATTTTCTTTTTGTACATACAATATAGCTTTATTTTTCATTTCAGGTATTTTATAAAAGCAAGAATACAAAAGTAGAGCATGTATTTAAGTGTCACAATGTCACCCAGATAAGTTTAAAACATAAAATTCCAAATTTATGCACAATGGAACCCCAAGGTGGTTGCTTGCAAAATAAGATGATATCGTATTGCTTTGAATTTTTAAATTTGATTTTACTTTATTGTGTAAAATAGAAGAGTTTACTGCGAGAAATAATTTACTTTTATCGACACCAATCTCATTTTTATCAGTTTATAACTTCTATGCAAATTAGGTTGCAGCTGTTTATTTAAAATGCAATCAGATTCAGAGAATTGTAAATGATTTTTGAACAGATTTAAAGTTTACATCAATAATAATAATTTGGTTTCCCATATTTATTTGTCTGCTTCAGTTCCTACTTTTTTGTAAAAGTGGTTGAACATTTACTTTTTTTCTCATTCTTACATTCTCAGATTCTGAACCATTTTGCTTTTTTTCGGAGAAAACAAACTTTTCGTGTGCAACAAGTTGAAAATTTCTAATACTTCAATATTATTTAAACCACGAAAGAACACTTACTGTGACCTATATAAAGCTTTTAAAGTTTGATGGTTAAAGCCTGTCAATTTTTTTTATGTCCAACTTTTCCTCAAACCTTGCAAATTAACCCTTCCTTAAATTTTGCACATCGATGTTCCATTACAGCTAAATGATAGTTTAATGGACTGGATTAGCCGACAGTGACGTCTTTTGTTTTAATATCCTGTGGAGTTGTGTGTTAGACTTTGACAGCATCATTTAGGTAACTTTATACACCTTTAAATGTTGAAATTTCACAACATTTTTGCGAATTATAATACAAGTATGTTTTGTAAATTACGCCAAATCAAGGAAATTTGCTTTTAGATAAAATTGTTAAACTCGTTAACAACTACCGTAACTCGAGTTTTAGTTAGGCCCAAGGGACATCTTTGGTTGTGAACAAAACCGTGACGGGAAAACAAACTAAAACTGTATTATGGATTCGGATTATAACTTTGAGGGGTTGTGATCTAATAATAATTGCTAAATTGTTTAGTCCTTTAGGGCTTATTATAATTTGTTTTATTTTGTTTTGCTAATATTTCTGCGAGTGTTAATGGTGTTTCTACATTTTGTAGTCAAGGATAAATTGACGTGTCCTTTTGTTATCACGTAATTTCTTAACGTTACGTACGAGGTAAATGGCAAATAAAATGGATATTTTATTGTGAATCAGATAATAATGCTTTGATATAAACAAAAATTATAACGAAAATGGAAATAAAATCACTTTTTTATCTACGTCCAGTGTTCGTTGTTTTTTTCAGCCAGCATAATGGTAATAGATGAAAGAAAAATACATACATTTCTTGAAAATTGCATTTATTTCTCGACTGTGGAGAACAGTTTCTCCTTGGAAATTTGTAAAGGAAAAATCTAACTTAGTTAAGTGAATCGTGCTACATTATTCATGTTCAAGGTTGGCATTAACTTATCTATTTGCATTTAATGGTGTGTGTGGATAGATATGCATAAACATCTCTATGTGAAGATTGCCAAGCATTAATCAAACATTTTTGAAAAGTCTATAAGTATACAGTATACAGTGTGTGTCTGTGGATAGGTGAAACGACTTTTGTAAACGATAAAAAAAATTTCCGATTTAAATTTTCATTTTTTGGCGTTCAGCCCTGTTTGATTAGAGACTAATTTCTAACATAATTTTAGTCTTGAAAAAGTATGACGAAAATTTTCAAAAAATCAAATCCTAGAATTTTATTTTTAACAGTTCTTTTATTACAAATAAAAAAATTACATTTAGATTATTACTACTAAAAGCTTTTTGACATATCTGTTAATAAAATGCATTTATCTTGAAATAAAATGACAAATCATAGTTGGCCGATGATTTTGAAATTTGGTATAGGGGCCTAAATGTTGATTCTAAACAACTTTTTCTAATAATTTTTTGTCGTATTTGCCACACAAAAGGCGCTTTTCTTTTCAAAAAAATATCTTTTTTGAAAATTTCCAAGGCATACTTGATTTTTCAAAACTAAAATTACGTTAGAACTTAATCTTTAACTAAGTAGGAGGGAACCTCAAATAATTAAAATTTAAAACGAGATTTTTTTGTCTTTTACGAGTCATTTCCAGCTATCCGGGGACTCACTGTGATTCATCAAAAACTAAAAATATATTTTAATAGTAATTTTGAAAACTGTACTGTATTTGTATGACTAAACAATTATATTTTCTACTACAGGGTGTTAAAAAAAGATTGTAAAATATTTCAAAAGGTAATAGTATGGACCAAAACAAACAAAAAAGTCTGAATAAACATGGGCCCGCAAAGTAACGGTTTTGGGGATATCGAAGATTATTCGTTTTTTTAAAACATTTATTTGCAATCTGTTCAATCTGTTCAAAAGAGAAGCTTCTAGCCCTACCTCCATTTCCACGCAGGCACGACATCTTCGTCTGAAAGATATGATATTCGAACTCTAAAACCCCCTCATTGGCTTGGATTTGTTGTCATTGCTGAGTTATGCGTATTTGCAGTTCCTCGAGGCTATTTACAGAGGACTATGACAAAAAAATGAGACATTTTTGCAAAATAAATTTAGGGGGTAAAAAAAATCACATTCGAAATCTCCGAAACCGTTACTTTGCGGACACATGTTTATTAAGACTTTTTTTTTGTTTATTTTACTGTTTTTTTTTATTTTTTCGTTTATTTTTATTTTTGTTTATTATACTGTTACCTCTTTAAATATTTTACAATCTTTTTTTAACACCCTGTATTATGATTGATAATGAAGATGTTTAAAAAAATTAATTGTAAATAGGATATTTTAACAAAATGTTTTACGCGTAACGTGATAAATAGGTACGTGACTTTAAAAGATAACAATCTACAAAACTATATCACTTTGATTAATTAATCTTCAGATCTGGTTAAGCCCTTGTTTGGCGGATAAGGGACACGAGTAACAAATGAATAGCACTTGCAGGTCTTTGTAGAAAATCGTATTTTTAACAGGGTAATGTGCAATCATCTATTTTTAACCATTCAACTTTTGTAAGTAATTTATTATGTCCAATAAAGAGGTAGGACGCTGTAAGTGGAGCAACAATCACAAATTAAAACCGTAGAAGTAACAAATAAAAAAACAAAAACCCAGCATTGTGTTCTTTATTTTGTTACAAAATTATATTTGTAAATGGTAAATTGTAGTAGCAATAGTAAAGTTTGGTAAACAAACTTCTGTGTCTGTTTTCCTACACGATTTGGTTCGTGCAAATGTTTCGTAAAATCAACATGCTTTTAGTGTTGTATCTAAATGATTTGAGAAAAGTATACAATTATGAGAGGTCAAGACCTACAAGTTTAAAATATTGTTTGCTTCCTTTCGGAAACGTGCAGAATGGGAATAGTTTGCTAACATTTATCAAACGCCATTTATCTTCATTGTTTTGACCTGACTGTCTTTGGCCTCAACTTTTGTAGATAAATGAAATTTAATTGGGAAACAACAAAGGAAGATATCGACAAATTAATTGCTGATATTTTGAAATGTGGATTTTATGATTTTTATTCAGTGCAATTTCGTTCTAAAAGAGGACTATCTAATTTAATGAAAAATTTCACACTCTGATAACTGAGTGATAAAGAGTACGAATGCACGCGAAACGATTACCAAGAATTGGGTTTACATGCAAATGTGAACTCTGTTGAAATTAGTTGAAAATAAACGTAATTTTTGGTAACAGTCCAGCAATGCTGTCATCGAAAACCGCGACGGGGGTTCGTAGTAATAATTCACTACATCATTATAACATAAACAGTGAATCGTGACAAGGTTTTGACAAAATTAGTGTAAATCCGAAGGAGATGGACCAGTGGAAGAGATGGATTTGGGTACTTAGAAGCCTTATAAAACCCCACTCACAATTATCCTGCAAAAGTTTTGACAATATTATGGTAAATTCAAGGGAGATGGACTAGCTGGAGAAATGAATTTTCCTTCTAAAACCCCACTCACAATTAGAAAAGTGTGTCAAATACAGGCGCTGGGACTAAAAAAAATACAAAAGACAATAAATCAGTAAATATTAAGAAAATAGTTAAGGATGATCTGAGGGGCCGTTCACTCTGGAATTAGTTTTATAAACTTTTGCAATTTAATCGGAAATTGCCTTGGAATTATTTGGGAGTATTTGGAATTATTGAAATTATCTTTGGAATTACTGGAATTATATGAATTGCTGGAATTTTTCTGGAATTGTTTTTGGAATTACTGGAATTCTTTTCGGAATCACTGTATTTACTTGGTTACTTGGAGTATTATATTAATGACGCAGCTGTACTTGAGCGCACTGCGCGTGCGCTGAACTTCAAGCACACTTATACAGAGTTCGCCAGAACTCGTGCCCCAGAGAAAAATGCCATATAAAGTAAGAGGAACATGGAAAAAAATGTTAAAAAAATTTTATCCATAAAAATTTCGAAGTTGTGAGAGTTTAAATTTTGCACTTTGACTATTTATTTCTGTTGAAAAAATAATTTTCCAAGTTTTTTTTGCTACAGGATATTAGAACAGGAAACAAGGAAGCTGTATCCTAAATTGTAACTCTGTTCAATGTTATTTGTGGCTTTTATTATTTTTGTATCTTTACTAAATAATAAAAAAAACATATGCAAGATGGTCAGTATCATTAAATAGACATAAAAAAATGTCAAATGTCAAAAATTTTTA